CCCCAAAACCCCAAAACCCCAAAACCCCGTAATCATTTTGATAGAATTAATTGAAATGAAATTAGTAAAATCGATTTACAATAACAGCAAATAAATATAAATGCCAAAAGCAGTAGTTAAGACTATCGAGTTAAACCACCAGGCTAAGCATAAAACTTAGTCATCTCCTGGTAGTAAATTAATGTCACCAGTAAGAGATACTAGAGATACTACTTCAGGTTTGCAAAGTACGAACTAACAGTCTTAGAAAATATAAGATGCTTTAAAAAATCATTCAAGCATTGGTAGTGTGAATAACTATTTGAATGAAAGCAAAATAAATCTATAATAAAAACACGCAAACCATAAGCAATTAAATAAAGAAAGAAAAAGTCCGAGGGCAAGCAGGATAGTTGATGAGCATGAGATTGATTTGGTGAGGATATCGTAAGCGGGTACTGCAATTAATGAGTAAAAATCATCAGCTTCTAAAAATCCCAGTAAAAACAATAGTTAGATTTTGCAGTAAATCAGCCAATCACCTTCAATCAATGGCAATCAACTAATATCGATGCTATCATTCTCTCAAACTAATGCAAGTAGCAGGCAAGAATAGGCTTCTTAGAGTCTGATTCCTCACTTTTAAAATACTACTTCAAATTTAGGACTAACTGGAGGTCTCGGTGGCTCAATTCTAGGCTAGAATAACAACATTAATAACACTCTCAACTCATTTACGTTTAATCAAAATAGCAAAACGATAGATCAAATAGTTGATACATTCTATGACTCCCTTGATAAGCTGTAGAGATTTGTGATTTCCAGTCAACTCGAGCTAGAGGAGAAACTTCGATCTGAATTTGATAGGAAACTTTAAATTTTAGAGCATAAGTTTATGGAAATAGATAATTTGCAAACACCACTGATTGATGTCATGTCTGAGAAAAGTATAGTGTCTCAAGAGTTCAGAGTCCTAGAAAAATCTGTCGATAAGAGAAAGAAAGAGGAATTGAAGAAGTAACAGATTTAGAATGCAGTGTTTGGACTAGGAATGTCTCGAGTTAATACTAATAGAGACTAAAGCTAATCCTTGAAGACCATTAACAATCAGCATAGCTTTATCAATAATGGCAAACAATATGGGAATACATCACTAAATAAAAATCAGAGCAAGAATCTTTAGAAAATGAATATGGATGGTAGCAGCTAATTTAAGAAAGATACTACTTAGACTGAAGTTTTGACCTATGCCAAGAGCACCAAAAGTTTTCTCCCGCTAAGCAAAGACTAAATGCCATTCAATGAGTTCAATAAATATGCTAAGCTGATTAACTAGAAGTCAAGGACTAAGAGAATGGACACTGGATTCAGTCCTAGAGTTAACTAAAGCAACTACTACAGTAATAGTCTCTTGGCATCGTAAAGCTCAGTCTAGTTGTTTCATTAGTATTCTAAGTAAAGTCCCAAATGTCGATACAATAGACAGCAGCATTCAAACCTTGAATTCACAGCTGCTTCAAACCACAACAGGCTAAGCAATTCTAAAAGCACTTCTAAGCATTAGATATCCTAAATCAGCTAAACTGGAGATCAGAAATCAAGAATTAGCAGACTGGCATTTACCCATTAGAGAAATATGAGTCAACCAGAGAATGTATTTCAGGACTTAAAGAATGAAGCTGTTTCTGATGAAAATAATAAGCTTGGCTAAACTTATTAGAATAACAACAGCCTTGCCAGTTCAAACACAAGCATGCCCTCTTTCCAGCACAAATCTAAGGAAAACCTGGAGTAGAAAAATAAGCTACTTTAGCAATACAATTCAGTTGAGACTAATTATTAATCATGCCAGAAACCTTCTCAATAGTAATAGAATTAGCAAATTGAAGCAATGAGTAGCGATACCTAGTTAGAGAAAGATTATCTAAAAGAGAGTTAAGTCTACCTGCATGCTGTTAAGCATTCATTGCCTCATAGAAAGATTAACCATCATTAAATGGTTTAGCAGAGAGAATTAGCAAACAGTGACATTGGTATGATTTAAGATGAGACTAATTTACCAGATGATTCTCGACAGATCATAGATTAACAAAAGAATATATTTGATAAGCATATGAAAACACGATATGAGAACTACCTCATCAAGAAAAGAGAAATTACTGTTAGCAACATTGACTTAAGAGATTCATTGACTGTGTACTAAGAAGTAAGAGATGCATCATAAATTTCTCAGGATAGGCATGATACATCAAAGTATATGACAGTCATGCAAGACTAAGAGCCTTAATACGAAAATCCCAAGGAAGACAATGCCTAAAGGTAGATCTAGAATTTCTTGCTAGATCTGAATAAAAATGATGATCTTGGATTTTACTAGTCAGAATCAAATAGTCTTAGGCATTCACAGATAAGCATTCAGGATAATACCAAAGATGATATTGGCACTAAAAATAGTGCTAGATAATAAGTAGAAGTGAAGGCTATTGACTTTATCTCATTTAACAAGAATGATATATTTATTGATGAATGAAAGAAGACTAGCAATTCCATTAGTTAAAGCATTACAAAAATTCTTAATTAGCTCTGAAATAATTCTATTAGTTATTTGAATTAATTATAATTTATGAGTCACGGGGTTTTGGGGTTTTGGGGTTTTGGGG